AAATTGTCAACATCACATTTCAAAATATACAAAGTAAATATCCTTAAATCTAGCACTAATCATTTCTCAAGAAGCATTTTTCTTACTTTGCATAGCTGTAAATTTTCGATTATTATCGATGGAAATATTTTTTCTGTGTGTACAGAGAAATTGACGCTTATCAGCATTGATAAAAATCTAATCCTTCTGAACCTACATACACAGCATGATCGGGTTTGCTTGGTAAACTGGGAGCAAGCAATATTTGTTTTGATACAGCAAAATCTGAGATTATGTATATAGGAACAATCTAGGCTACACTTACAAGATAGAGGACTGTATCCTGGAAAACAGTGCTTCTGAAAAGAAGTTGGTTATTATAGTAGATCACCAAATGAACATAATCTTCCATTGTGATGCTGTGTTTGAAAGGCTACAGTAATCCTTGGATGTAGAAACAGGGGAATATTGAGCAGGAGTAGGAAGGTGGAATTTCCTCTGCATATGCCATTGCTGAGACTATTACTAGAATTTATTTCTGGTGTCCATATTTGAAAAAAAGGTTGTTGAAAAGTTGAAGTGTTCAGAGTACAGCTGCAAGAATAATTTGAGGTCTAGAAAATAGTAGTTACGAGAGACTCGAGGCGTTCAATTTATTTAGTTTATCAAAGAGAAGATTGAGATGACTTGATTACATCTATAATTACCTACACAAGGAAAAGGTATCTTATCGTAGCAGACTCTTTAATCTAACCAAGAAAGGTATAACAAGATCCAATTACTGGAAGTTGCAGCTAAACAAATACAAACTGGAAATGAAGTGCAAAATTTTAACAATAAAGGTAATTAGCCATTAGAACAGCCAACCAAGTGATGTGATAGATTTTCCATCACTTGGAATCTGTAAATCAAGACTAGATGTCTTTCTAAAGTATACACTTGAATTCAACTGCAATTTATGATTTAATGCAAGAATTACTTGGTTTACACAGTGAGTCAGATTACATTATCATAATTGCTCTTTTGGTTTAAAAACTGATGGAGCAAGACTCGGTCCCATTGAAGTCCATGGGTAGACTGCTAATAACATCAACATGACCAGAATCTGGACCTGTGAATCTGTTTTTGAAATGTAAAATGCCCCAGTTCATGATGACTGTATGTAGCATATATTGCAATAGCTGATCATAAATAATTTGCTCAGCAGTCTTGTGGATAATGTATATTTAATTTCGCTTAACCATTAATCAGTGGATACTTAAAGCCATAACATAGCACTGATTCTAATAACATCTTAAAGTACCAATAAACTGCTGTAAATTGGACACGTGTTAGCTGTGAGCTGAGTACAGCCAATATCTGTGTGACCCTTCAACAACTCCATAATTTCGCATATCGTGAGAAAGAAAGTTTTTCATGGTTTTCAATTAAAAGCAACATTTCCACTCTAAGTCAATGTGATTTTGCTGCTAAATTACTATTAAATATTTATCATAGTCACAGCTTGCAAATTTGTCAGAAAGAGTCTTGGAAGTTCAGAGTACATCCACCAAATGGATACTTCACAGATTCAGTAGGAAGCTTTTGCTGGGAAAATGGGCTTGAAAAGCAGCAATGGGACAACCACCTGTTACCTTTGTTTTAAAAGCTATTTTTAAGTGAGCTGTTTCCTAATGTTCCTCAGCAGAGTAATAAAGTTCCTCCTGGCCTTCATAATTTAAAACACTTCTTGGATCATTGCCTCTCTGTGAATTCACTGATTTCTATAAAATATGTTTTTGGAATACTAAATTGTACTTTGAAAAATACAACTTCTGCCTCTATGCACAAATGAAATGGCTCACTGTGTTGTACCTGGAAAATCATTTGTTTAACAAGGAGCTAAATATGATTTTTTTTTAAGCAAAGAGTATACAGTAGTAGATGGGTTTCTCCAGATGTTTTTCCGGTGTCCAGACTGAACAAGCTACATGCTTGTCAAGTTTTGCATTTTATTTCCTCTTTTCCCTTTACTTATGGTATATGCTATGTATGTTGGAAAAGATGTCTACTAAGGTCAGAACCAAGCTCAAAATGTAGCTGATCCTCAGTTGGGCTGATTTTGTGACATGTTTCTGACATCAAAATATCTAGAACGAAGCATGATATGTCATATATCACTTCTCATGCAACTTCGTATTATGGAAATCATCCTAGAATATTTGTTATGTATTTAAAAGCTTTGAATAACTAAAAGGTTTTAAGGTCTGATCTTTAGTGATTCTGTGCACCCACAATTCAAATTGAAGCTAATGGCCAGGCACAAATGCTGCATGAGAGGCAATTTGGTACAAAGCCCATTAAATGAATGAAAATATTTCCATTTGACTTGACTATACTTTGGATCAGGCACATAGTGAATATTGTGTTGAGTACCTTCATACTGGAAGAATGCTGAAACATATGGGTGACTTCAGAGAAGATAAAAAATGATCGATCTAGAGGTACTGAATTATGAGAAGGTTAAAAGAGCTAAATAGGTATTGCATAGCTATGTGACAACTAAGTGGGGCACACTGTAATGATCTACAAGTATTTAATAGGAATAAACAGCTAGAAGGGACTTGAATTAATTAGTATGGTTCAAAATGGGAATGAAAATAAAACAAAGAATACTGTATTTATGCTGAATAACAAGAAAATCTTCTGAACAGTAAAACCATGTAGAATGTGTAGTAGTCTTCCAAGGGAGGTTAAATGAAGACTTAAATCTAGAAACTTTAAAATTACTGTAGATTTTGTACAAAGCAGTAGAATATATATATTGTAGGAATCATTTCTACACTGGCAGAGAGATAAAGTAGATGACCTACAGTAACATCTTTTCTTTTCCTGATTTTAGTATAAACTAAAGGTTCTTATTGACTTCAGTGAGAGTTGGATAATGACCTGAAACAATGATACAGTTGTGAAACAGAGTTGGTGTGATTCAATGCTGTACTTACAAATAAAATTTTAAAATAGTAGAGAGAAGAATGTAGCATAAAATAAAGGAGAAAGATAGAATGGTGGGAGCTGGATGTATCTGATCAGTAAGAGAGAAGAGATGCGAGTTGGTTGAGAGATCAGGCAGAAGGCAACAGAGGATGTTCTACTATGATAGTAGAAATATTAACATAACACAGTTTAGAATATGTTGCAGTTAGATAGACCTGAACCAAATCACCAGGTCCAAATGTGCTTGAACTCAGAGGAAATTTGATTCTGGGCCATATCCAAACCTGGCCGCTCAGGCTCCTCTATAGTTACAGCATTTTATTTTGTATGCAGAATTCTTTTACTTTTCCAAGCAGTGGGGTCCACCCAAAAACTGTAAAATGTCTTAAAGTTTATAGCCTCTGGCTCATGTTAGCGCTCAGAATGAGAAGCGACCACTAAGGAAATTGTTTAATAGAATGTGTTAGAATATCGGATTTAGAGATTTCTGATTAGTGATTGATGCTGTTACACCCATATTGCTAATTTCTAGTAAATGAAAAGGTATAATCTCCCCTTTATAATTCTCTTCCTTTCATAACCTCAAAAAGACACACACCAGGCAGTACGTTTCTGTGGGATTATTGTGTTGGTTGGTTGAAGTCAGAAGGTGAGGTATGCAATAATCCTACAGAAAGTCATTATCTGGCATGCCTAACTGCCTAGTTAGATATTAAAAAATACAGTGTACTTAGGTGAATAGAGATCACTGCTTAAGTCTTCCAAAGAAATCGTTGCTTTGCCATCTTTAGTTAAACTTTAGTTAAATAGTGATAAATCGCGGTGAAGACTTTAATAACCCTGCTTTAGAACTCTGCAAAAATATTTTAAACTGTAGGGACTAGATTCATTATGGAATTTTCACCAGTTTTGGTGTGAAATTTCTAGCATCTTGCTTTAAATTTTAATTGTAGAAAATACAGCAGTTTTCTTGTTTGAAATAATTTTCAATCTGCAGAAAGCCATTCTTACCAGCCAGAAATTTTTGTGAGGTCCAGGCCAAAGCAAAATAATAATTTAAAAATCCTTCTCTGAGATGCCTCATGTTTTCTTTGTGGAAAACTTCACCTATGTTGTTTTTCACAAGTAATTTCACAAATAACTTTTTTTGTGCCCCCCTCTAAAATGTGTTTCTTGAATGGCTTCGCTTTCCATCTAGAACAGTTTTGAATTCAGATGGACTATTTATTTGTGTAAAATTACCCATATATATGTAAGTGTTGGGGGATTGGGGCCTAGGTTTTTAGGACAGTGCATTAAAACTCCAAGTTCTGAAGCCTCCGTAGATATTACTGAGGAGAGTTGATCTCCAACTCTATCCTGGACAAAGTGACTAGAATGATGATGTGGGACAATTTACTAATTTGTTATGAATCATAACTTACTAAATGTTAAAGGTTGGACCCAGAGGGAGTGGCAGTGGCTACCATGATGTAACACGCAGATTTGCCATGAAGTTTTCTTTTTCCTTTTCTTCAGGCCTGGGTTGACAAGGGTCAGGTCCAAGGTAGTTTTTTCATTGGAATGGAGAGGTGCAAAGACATAATGTCCTTATTTTCTGTCTGGGGGGAGCATTGGCCTGCTAAACCCAGGGTTGTGGGTTCAATCCTTGAGGGGGCCACTTAGGGATCTGGGGCAAAATCAGTACTTGGTCCCGCTAATGAAGGCAGGGGGCTGGACTTGATGACCTTTCAGATTCCCTTCCAGTTCTATGAGATAGGTATATCTCCATATATTTATTTATTTAATTTATTTTTAAAAACCCTCCCTTTTTTGTACTCACTAAATGTTGTGAAATGAAAACGTTGACTTTGACCTGCATTTCAGCTGACACTTTAAATAAATAAAATGTTAATCAAATCAAACTGTATTAAAGCCAATGTTTCAGAAGTAGAAAAATTAAACAAAATGAAGATAGATAATAATGTATCTATTAATTGCACTTTTAAAACATTTTAAAATTAAATATTTGTTCTCTAAATTTTTTTCTTACTCTTTTTGAACAGGTTATTTGGTGTCACTTCAGTAATTCAAACCAATTGCTCAAGCACCTGGAAGATCATAGCAAACCAAGACCTACTCTGGTATCACCATGCCAATCCCATATTACTGCTGATGATGTACTACACCCTGGCAACTCTTATTCGCCTTTGGCTACAAGAGCCCGTTGTAAGGATAATATATTTTTTTCTTCCCACTTTATGAAGAGAATGAAGCTGCCAGAGTAGAATTTTTCTAATGCTCACTAATGACTGTAAGATTCTCAGATTATTACTGGCATTTGCAAACAGTAGAACGAAATTTTTATGTGAGGCAGCCATTTCCAAGCTGCTGTCTTAAATACATTCTTTCTGATAAGTCCCTCCAGCTCTTACATAGGTAGTCCTCTTAAAGTCAATGGGACTACTTATGTGATTAAGGCCTATGGGATCAAAGACTTAGGTCATGTCTACACTACCAGCTAAAGCGGCACTGCTGTGATCAATGCAGCGGTGTTGATTTAGTGGGTCTGGTAAAGACATGCTAAATTGATGGGAGAGTGCTCTCATATCAACTTGTGTACTCCACCTCCCCGAGAGCCAGAAGCTATGTCAATGGGAAATCGTCTCATGTCAACGTAGCACGATGTAGATACTGATGTAAGTCAACCTAAGTTACGTTGACTTCAGTTACATAATTTGCGTAACTGAACTAGCGTAACTTAGATCGTCTCAGAGCATTAGTGTAGATCAGCTCTTAACTTACTTTTGAACTGTGGAAGTCTGTGTGAATATTGTCTACGGTAGGTAGGATTTTTTTTTTCTTCTCATAGTGCAAAGCACCATAAAGTCACAGCAAAATGAGTAGTAAGTGCAGCACACAGGAGTTACTGGTGAGCAATCTTCCTCTGTGTTTCATGGTCTTTACACAGCCTTGAAAATTTCCCCATACCAAAGGCAATAGAGAATGAAAATTTAAAAGCAGCCTCAAGGGCTCGTTGCCCAAAAACCAAAATATCAGCTGCAATCTGGTGCAGGATACTCTAAAACATACGTAGTTTTGCCTAATCTTTCAATTTTATCATGACTCTAGCAATATTTGGTGTTTTTCTTAAAGTCCTAAGTCCAGGATTCATGTGATTATGTGAACATCTCACCTTCCATTTTTTTAAAAAGTAAAGTTCTTCGATCTTATGGTTGTGGAGAAAAGCATGGAACCTGATTACAAAGGCACCCTGAAGACTCAGAAAACAAAAGGAAAATAAAATGAGCCCAAATTTCATTATTTTTAAAAATGGAATGATTTGTGGAGGTCTGACTCATCATTTTTGAAGTTGGGTTTGGTAATGCTGAACATAGTAGTACAGGTACACAGCACTAAAGCTGTGAAGAGTCTAAATTTCAGTTGAATCCTTGTGAAATATTAATGTCTTCATTCATTTATTACTTCACTCGCCTTGTGCCTCTTTATTAAGAGTCAGAAATTTTTAGGAGGATAGGAAGCTGGTGGGGATGTCTTCAAAAGTTAACCTTTATAAAGGGAAAATATCAAAATATGAAAACATTGTAAGATAAATGCTGTCTTTGTATTATGGCTTCTTTTTTGATGCAGAAGATACACTGTTACAACATCTCTCCATAAAGGTTTCTAAATCTTAGCAGTTTTATAGACTATTTCACTATGTATGTTTTTTCTCCTTTGATTGTGCCATGGATCAGGAATTGATTTTTCTTTTTACTTGTTTTGTCTTAGAAGATTTTTAGACCAAATTCTATTCTCAGTTACACCAGTCTAAATCCACGGTAATTCCATTGCAGTCAATAGAGTTATTCTGGATTTATGCTACTTTAATGGAGACCTGAATTTGGTCCTTGTCTTTTACTGTAGCTGCCTGTGTCTTCTGCTTTTACAATTTGAAACAATGTCAAAGCAGCATAGTAGTGAGGCTCTTATCTTTACCTCCTCTACATTATTAACCAAGTTCAGAAGGCAAAGATGATAAATTTGCTGAATGGGTCAATCTGAAAGCAGACGGTATTTCTCTATTCTGTACAATGCAACTTCAGAATAACAGCGGCAAATATGCCCAATGGCCTGTGATGGGACACTAGAGAGGGAGGGATCTGAGTTACTACAGAGAATTCTTTCCTGGGTGTCTGGCTGGTGAGTCTTGCCCACATGCTCAGGGTTTAGCTGATCGCCATATTTGGGGTCGGAAAGGAATTTTCCTCCAGGGCAGATCTGGGGGGGTGGTTCGCCTTCCTCTGCAGCATGGGGCACTGGTCACTTACTGGAGGATTCTCTGCACCTTGAAGTCTTTAAACCACAAGT